TATGGGTTTCTGTACCCATCTTCATCGTCTTTGTTATTGTTGCGGCATGCGTTATCGGCTTCAAGCTATATTTCATCCGCAGTACAAGCACAGCCGCAGCTTCCGCTATGATTGATCTCGCGAATACACTTACACGAAAGAAGAGCCGACGAAGAGAAATAAATGCCATACCACAGGAACAGGAATTAATGGAGATAAAAGAGGAACGACTTTTTATACCTCGTATCTACGCTATATCTACCCGGAAATCACGATTGCCCTATATCAGGATCCTTCTTTCCAACAAACCAGTCACGGCGTTGATAGACAGTGGTTCAGCTATTTCATGCATACCCATATCTACCCTACAATCGCTCAACAAATCTTTGCCGGCTTCACCCAGCCCCTCTACTGCTCTCGCGGCTAACGGTACATCGATCACTTTACTGGCACGTGTGGAATTACCAGTCAACATCAATGGTCACGGAATCAGCCATAACATGCATGTTCTGAAAGATGAAGAGTGTCCAGCACCAGCTCTCTTGGGTTCGGATTTCCTTCAACGTCTCAATGAATTGGGACTGAAAGTAACGCTGGATCTATACAAGCAACAGCTCATTGTGGGAGACCAAACCCACAAACTAATCCAGCTCAATAGTATCCTGCTGCCTCAGAATGTGCCTTACCCTGTGCGGCTGATTGAATCTGTCACTCTGCCTCCTCGGACTAATAACCTAGTACATGCCAAAATCGATGGATACTTCTCCACTACTCCAATCGATTTTTACATTGAAGACAATCATCGACCATCAGCCGATATCTTCATGGTTGGACGATCACTCCTGACGCCGACCCAAGAAGGAAGATGCTTTATTAACATCATGAACCCCACGGCTACTTCTATCCTCCTCTATGCCTGTATGAACGTAGCCAATGCGATTCCGATGTACCCGGCGGATTTTCAAATTTGTTGTATCCAACCAACCTCCTATGTTCCTCCCGAGGCAGACTGGGAATGCTCAATGCCTTTATACCCGAGGACCGAGGAACAACCATATGATATTACCACCGAAATCGACTTCTCTCAATGTGCA